GAATCAAATGATGACACAATGATTTTTAACGATGTTCACTTGCTTGCCAGCAAGCTAGTCCTCGTTGTGGCGATTCACTCACTTAGAGGTTCACGCACTAATTGGCATCATAAGCCAAACCCTCAATAGGGTGCTGCACAACCAACACAAGATGAGGATCACACAAGCCACGCGCAATCCACTAGAGTTGCCTTTCGTGATCTCCCACGGGGAAGGCACAAGAACCCCACACAATATCGACGATTGGAGCCGGCAACAATCACCAATAGCCGCTCAATGATCCACTAATCACCAGATCATCTAGGTGTCGGCAAACACCAAGAGTAATAAGAACATCAGCCTAAATCGTTCAACAAGTGCCACAAGATGCTAGAACACTAAGCAATGCACTAGAGGCTCTCCAATCTCACTCAAGATGATGAAATCAAGTGTGCAAGTGAGTGGAGTGGTGTGCTTAGCTCTCAAAGGGTGTATGCAGTAGTTAGAAGTGTCAAGAGAGTGGCCAAGGCCAGCCACTAGCCCTATTTATAAGCCCACAAGCAAATAAAGGTGTTACCCCTTTGAGTCAGCTTCTACGGGGTCACTGAACATGTCGGTGTGGCACTGGACATGGGGTGGCGGTGCCCCTCCAACGGTCATCCAAGGCACCGGACAGGCAGCGGTGGCACCGCCCCTAGGGTGGCGGTGACCACCCGACCACTGCCCGAGAAACCCCCTTCTCTGGATAAAAATGGTGGTGCACCGCCCTCCCTACTGCGGTGACCGTGGCGGTGCCCAGCATAGCTTTCCTTGCTCTCGGGTGAAAAACGATGGTGGCACCGGACACACACCGGCGGTGCTCCGTCACGCGTGAGGCGGTGCACACCGTCAGTGGCGGTGCCCCTAGCGGTGCACTGTCACACCTAGGATGGTGTACACCATCACTGGCGGTGGCAGCCCCAGCTTTAGCCCTTCTCGGCCTTGTCCAGGTGGGCACCGCCCTAGGGGTGGCGGTGCCACCGGACAAGGGGTGGCGGTGCCCCCCAGAACACCTCCCTCTCGGCCTCCTCTGCCGGTCACCGCTACAGGGGTGTTGGTGCACCGTCACAAGGGTGGCGGTGCCCTCGGGGCAGCAACACAAGCCCGGCTACGTCTCCTTTTCTTCACCTTTTTCACCACCTTTGCAAATGTGCTAAACCCCAAGTGTTTCACCATCACACGCAAGTGTGTTAGCATTTTCACAAATATTTTTTCAAAGGTTAATCACTTCTCATCGAATGTGCACTAGGCCTAAAATGCAATGCAAATATTTCAACATCTAGTGGCACTAGATGATCGAGTTGTCCGATAAGAGCTCCCCTCTTAATAGTACGACCATCTATCCTAAATGTGATCACACTCGCTAAGTGTCTCGATCACCAAACCAGAAAGCTCCTATTAAGTTTTACCTTTGTGTTGAGCTTTTTATTTTTCTCTTTCTTCTTTTCCAAGTCCAAGCACTTGATCATCATGGTCACCACACCATCATCATAATCTTCACCATTGCTCCATCACTTGGAATAGTGCTTCCTATCTCATGATCACTTTGATAAACTAGATTAGCACTTAGGGTTTCATCAATTCACCAAAACCAAACTAGAGCTTTCACAGGCACGAAGGCATGGCACAGGCATAGATAGATAGATCATGTATGAACAAGTATAGATAACAAGTATGAATGAAATGAAAAGCACGAGTTGTGTCGACGTCGAGGATAGCATCGATGAGGTTTCAAAAGGCTCAACCTTGGAGGCGAAGGGCTGCTGTGGCACATTCCGATGCGCTGCGGCTAGCTGCTAGCCACCCTTGGCTGGCTGCGGCTTGCTGTTGGCTGGCTGCAGCTTGCTACAGGTGGCTAGGGGCTGGCTGCTATCGGCCGGGACGGGGCAGCAGGCGGCCGAGAGGCAACGAAGCTCTGGTGTCATGGAACAGGGTAGCCATGCCGAGGAAGGGCCAAGGCACAGCCTCCCTACATGGTGAAACACAGCGAACGATGGCCGGCCTCAGACAGGATGCCGACAAGAAGGAAAAGGAGGAGGCTTTGGTTCATGGTGGCTCACCACTCATCGATGGTGGAAAAGAGAGCTCCAGCGAGGTGGTCCTAGCTAGCGAGGATGACGGCAGGACGCAGCACCATGCTTGGCGAAGGGCTCAGGGCGGTACAGCTCCCATCGTGGTCCTCTAGGTCCGGTGTGGTGAGGCGAGGAAGAAGATCGGCGAGGCACCAAGGCGGCGGCTTGCTGTTCCGGTTGCACAGATAGATCGATCTCGCAGCACAGGGAGGAAGATGATTAGGAACAGCGACAAGAACAAGAAAGGAGAAAGCTTGGGCCTTGGGGCTCACTGGCGACAGAGGACGATGACGGGTTGCCACGAGGTGGTGCTAGCCGCAGCGGTTAGAGTTGCACGGGCTGAGGACGGCGCTGCACCTGGTAGCGGGCGGACTGAACGAGTCCGTGGTCGTGCTCTGCTGCCCAACGAGGAAGAAGGCGGTGAGGTTGAGGTGCTCTAGGTATTGCGTGGCGAGGTGCTAGGTCGGGGCAGAGGATGACGAGGTGGTGGTGCAGTGCGATGCGGTGTCGGTGAGGCGAGGAAGGAGGCGCTGGGCTCAGAGTCGGCCAGAGAAAGGTGGACGCGACACATTCTAGGTTCAGCGAGGTCGGCTGGTGGCTTGGGGAAGAACGGCGAGGTCACGCGCGGCCAACTGCTCAGCAAATAGAGCAGAAGCGCAGCGAGGACGATGGCGTCGTGGACGTGCTGGAGATGGAGCTCGTGGTGGTCGACGAAGTGGACGCTTCCGGCGAGGAAGGAGCAGGCGAGCACAGTGGCGGAGCTCCAGCTCGGCGTGGTCGCAGAGGATGGCATCGCAGTGGCGAGGCGCGTCCATGGGGTCACAGCTCGACGATGATGGCGAGCTGCTCGGTGGTGGAAGGTGTCGGTGGCCACGGCTTTGGTGAGGAAGAGGTGGACGCGGCGCAGCTTGAGGGTGAGGTGGTGTACGACGAAGCCGACGAGGGACACTGGCGGCATGGCCATCTCCACGGACGAGCAGGAACGAAGGTAGAGGGATTGTGGCGGTGGCTAGGAAAAATGGGGAAGAGCGCGGTGGTGGCTGCCTCTTCTAGGCGCTGCGAGCTAGGGTTCTAGGGGCTCCGGTGATCCTCGTTGTCCATGCTACGGACGGGACACGTGGCGCTGGATGCGAGGCTCGCCGTACGAACGCCGAGGCACGTGGGCGCATCTCCACATCGGGCAGCGGCGGCGGCTCATGGGAGCGCAGGGGGAGCGCCCAGGGTTAAGCTGGGGCGCGGGCCTGCGGGGGCTGTGGGTTTCGGATGGGCTAGGTGAGGTGATCCACGCAGTTGGGCCAGGCGATCTGGGCCGGTGGAAGGGTAAGGCGAGTTGGGCTGTGGCGGCTGCTGGGCCTACGGGAAGAGGAGGCTGGTGGGGCTGGCGGATGAGAAGGAAGGGAGAGTGAGTGGGCTGACTAGGAGGGAAAGGAAAGGATTTTCCTTTTATGAATTTTGACTCAAGGAGTTAGAGAGAGATTCAAAACGGATTTGAGAGGAATTCAAGGAGAGGAGGAAAAAGGATTTTCCAATTCCTCGCTAGGGAAAAGATAGGGGTCTCCCCATTTTGCTATGACGATATGAGAAGGATTTCAATGGAATTGAGAGGAATTCAAAAGGGATTTGAGATGAATTTGCTACAAATTTGAGATAGATTCAATGCGGGAATTTTTGCTATGGCTTTGTGCACTCCAAACGGAACTCAAATCCAAAACCAACTCACGAATACAGGCACTCTCCTACAATCAATTCCATATGAATGCAACCATTTTATTTATAAATTCACCTAAGTTGACTTAGGTTTGACCTAGAAACTACATGCTTCATATCTTGTAGGAAAAATTTTAAAAAGCTCGTATTTTTGGTTGCATAAAACCCGGGATGTTACACCAGTGAACCGCCACTTTCCACCACCAGTCTCCAGGACCTCCAAATCAATGTGATTTTTCGATTTGCTTCACAAAACCACATTGATCCCTCTCCTCCACAACACAGCAAGACCCCCACCTTTCCTTCACAATCCACCACCTCCAAATTCTCCAAACACAGCTTCTTGATCACAATCATCCTCTTCTCGTCTAATTTGGTTTCCGACAAGAAGAGAATATCAGCTTCTTTCGCTTTATGGCACCGAAGAATCCCCCGAGCTGCCGGGGCGTTTCCCAACCTCTGGCAGTTCCAAGCCAAAAGCTTCATTGATCCATGCAGGACCGGTCCGCCGGTCCCTCATTCTTCAAAATATCAACCCCAACCTCCTCAGCCTGCTGGCTCATTTTTGTAGCCCGCTCAGACCCATCCACATCCATACTCTCCTCATGCTCCATCATCCTCTTCTACTCCACACTCACACCTTCAGTGCCCTTCTCGCTGGACCCCTTCGTTTGTTTCACTCACCTAAAGCCCCTCCCTAAACCACCACCTTTTTTGTTCTTCTCCGGGCTAGACACAAAGTCACCCACAACGCCCTGCATGGCACTATAGCCATCACCATGCACGACAAATTTCACAAAGCCCTCAACATCCTCTGGAACCCCGTCAAAGAGACTCAGTTGTGCCGTATTTTCCTTCTCCAACTCAGGTGCGGGCAAATCAAAAGTTGGTGCCTTCTTCGAGCCCCGTGTGTGAACTGAGCTTAGATTTCTTCAAAGGACTTAAGACCTCCTGCTCCTCTGAACTAGCTAACCCCTTCACCTCCTCCGATTTCTCCCCCTTACGTCAGCTATCACTGTCACTCCCCTTTCGTCCATTACTACCCCAGCTACTAGAACCACCCGCGCCTCTCTCCCTAGAACTTCTCCAAGGCAACTAAGACCTTTGGTCTATGGCTTTGCTCCTGAACTCCTCCCCAAATCTCTTCTTCTCTGGTATGAAACGTAGAGCTCTGCTATATTGTTGGCCCACACCCTACTGCACCTAAACTTCGCACGACCGATCAGTATGTCCAATCAATCTACAGGTGTAACAAAAATCAGGGAGGTATTCATACACCAAAGGGCACCACTTCATCTTCTCCTGCTCCCCACCCCCAACATCCAATGTCACCCCTCGCATCAGTGGTTTGCGGATATCAATCTTCACTTTAACTCTCAGAAACTCGCCAATCGCATTTTCTTTATCGTTAGCCTCAACCTCTAGGACCTCCCCAATCATCTCACCCATCAACTCCCCTTCGTGCTTATTCATCAGACCCAGCAGCATCTTAGTGATCCGTGTTAGACTGTAAATGTATATATGTGTGTGTATATGAGCCTAGGCCATGGTATAGCCGGCCGGTCCTCTATTTGGTTAGAGAGATATGAGGAGATATCGGTTTGGTCCTATTTCTATAAACCATAAGATCTCCTCTCCCCTATATATATGTACATAGGTCTCTCCAATCAATCAATCTATTATTCCACGCAATCCTTATTGCTATCACGAGCTTAGTTTTTTCCCCTTCCTTTCCTGGCTGTCGCCTCCCTTGCGTGTGCCCGCCGCCTCCCTGCCATGGCCGGCGCCACCCCCACCACCACTTCCTCCGCTGCTGCTGTCGTCGATCCCTACGCCGCTGCTGCCGAGTCCAAGGAGGAGCGCACCCGCGCGACCGCGCAGGTCGACGCCGTGGCTGCCGCTGCCCTCTAGTCCACGAAGACACGCGTCCCGCTGCTGCCGAAAGCAAAGCAGCTGCCCGCCGCTGCCCCTCCGGTCCATGGAGGCGCGCGCGCTGCCAGCCGACCAGCTCTTCTGCGCTTGACTTCGCCAAGGAGGAGCGCGCCACAGCTTCAGAAGCCGCTTCGCGACGCCGCCATGCCGCTGTCGTCTGGTGACGCCGAAGCGCCGCCGTCGTCGCTTCAGGCGAGGCGGGACGCGGCTGATGCGCGACTTCAGGCCGCCCTTGACCGCGCGGCTCAGGAGCACGCCGCGACCGCTCCACCTCTAGAAGACGACGCTGCCCTTGACGACGCCGAGGATGCTGAGGATTCTGCCTCTGCCGATGGCGGCGATCCCCATCTTCACGCCGTTCTGCTTCAGAAAGAGGCCGCGGCCCCTCAACCTGCACGCCTAGGCTGTGGCCGTGCAGAACATCCGACTGCTCATCCCGCTTGTCCTCGACGTCGCCTCCACCTTCTATGGCCGCTGGCATGAGTCGTTCCTCCTCGTTGTCGGCCGCTACTCCCTAGAGAGCCATGTCCTCTCCGACGCTGCCGCCCCCAACTCTCCGGATTGGGCGCGCATAGACTGCGTCGTGCAAACTTGGATCACCGGCACCATCACCGACGCCCTCGCCGAGGTCGTGATCGAGTTCGGCACCACCGCCCGCGCCTCCTGGTTCGCCATCGAGTCATAGTTCCACGGTAATCGCGAAACTCGTGCTCTCCACCTCGATGCCGCCTTCCGCAACTTCAAGCAAGGCGACCTCGACATCAGTGCGTACTGCCGGAAACTCAAGGGCATCGCAGACGCCCTCCGTGACATCGGCGAGCCCGTCAACGACATGACTCTTGTCCTCAATCTCCTGCGTGGTCTCAATGGCCGTTTCGAAGCCATTGGGCTTCACCTTCGCCGCGGACGTCCGTTTCCTACTTTTCTGTAGGCCCGCAATGATTTGCTCCTGGAGGAACTCACTATGGCGGCCCTGACTGCCACCTCCGGCAGCGCTCGGCCGCCCACGCCCACGTCCGCCACTCCACCAGCCGCTCCCTAGCAGCGGTTGCCAAACCAGCAGCAGCAATCCGAGGGAGGCAAGCACGCGCGGCGCGGCAAGCACGGCAGGGGCGGCGCAACAACTCCAATAGCGCCTTCCCCAATGGCAGCGGCGCTCAGCAGCAGCAGCAGTGGCCCAATCTTCATCAGCCATGGACTGGATCCATCAACATGTGGCCTGGACCTCAGCCCTCGACGCTGCCACACCCGCACGCACTTCTCGTTGGTGTACAGCAGGGGCCCGGTGGACCGCAGCAGCTCCCTCAGGCGCTTCTGACTGGAGCTCAGCAAGGCTGGAGCGTCAATCCTAGAGTCCAGTAGTGGGCGCTTCCTCCGGCTAATATGTACAACCCAGCCATCGCGCCACCCGGCTGGGACGCTTCTAGCCTCGCCGCGAACTTTCAGACCATGTCGCTCCAGCGGCCTACATCGAGCAATTGGTACTTCGACTCTGGCGCCTCCAACCACATGACTTCAGATGCCGGTATAATCACCGTGCCTTCCCCTCCATATACTTCATCTTTATCCCATATTGTTGTCGGTAATGGGAACCTTCTTCCTGTTACCTCCACTGGCGTGACATCTTTTCCACATAACCTTCGTCTTAATAATGTCCTTGTTTCACCTGGCCTTATTAAGAACCTTGTTTCAGTACACCAGTTTACCTCTGACAATAATTGTTCTATGTTGTTTGACCCTTTTGGCTGTTCTGTGAAGGATCTTCCCTCTTGGAGAGAGATCGTCAAGTGTGACAGCTCCGATCCTCTCTATCCGCTGCAGTTCCCGGAGTCAGCGTCTGCTCTCCTTGCCACTACTAACCCTTCACTTTGGCACCAGCGTCTTGGTCATCCTGGCCATGAAGTTTTGTCTAAGCTAGCACAGTCATCCGCTATTCCATGTAATAATAGTGCTAGCCAAACATTGTGTCATGCTTGCCAGTTGGGTCGTCATACTCGTTTACCCTTTCATGCGTCCTCTTCCAGAACCACTCATAATTTTCAGTTAATACATTGTGATTTGTGGACGACACCTATACCTAGTGTTTCTGGTTGCAAGTATTATCTTGTCACACTTGATGATTTTTCGCATTATCTCTGGACTTTTCCGCTTCGGCTATACACTTTTCCTACCCTGTCTAATTTCTTTGCCTATATGGCTACGCAGTTTGGTGTCCCCATTCAGGGTATTCAATGCGATAATGGACGCGAGTTCGACAATCATACTTCCCATGCCTTCTTCCTCTCCCACGGCGTCCAACTCCGGATGTCCTGTCCTTATACCTCACCTCAAAACGGGAAAGCTGAACGTATTATTCGTACCATCAATAATGTTGTTCGTTCCCTCCTGTTTCAGGCCAGTGTCCCCCCAGCCTATTGGGTTGAGGCTCTTTCCACCGCAACCCTCCTTAACATTCTTCCCACCAAGACACTCAACTTCTCCACCCCACACATGGTGCTCTACGGGTCTCCACCCTCTTATGACCACCTCCGTGTCTTCGGGTGTCGCTGCTACCCCAATCTCTCTGCCACTGCTCCCCACAAACTCGCCCCTCGATCTTCCTTGTGTCTTTCTCTGGTATTCCCCTCATCACAAAGGCTACTACTGCCTCGACCGGTCATCGAACCGGATCATCATCTATCGGCATGTGGTCTTTGATGAGGCGTCCTTCCTATTCTCTGAGGATCCTGGTCGTCCCTCACCCTAGGATTTTGAGTTTTTGAGCTCTACTTACCCTGTGATGGCTACCCCAGCGCCGTCATTTTTTGTACCTGCAGGCACTCCCGGTGACTCCGCACAGCCACGTGCGGCCCTTCTTCCAGGGAGCAGCGACCCTTGGGTCATTGCTGCTCCCTTGGACTCTGGTGGCCTGCCAGCCAGCCAGGTCTCGCCTGCAGCTGCCTCATCGTCACCAGCAGCCGGCCTAGCTGCTCCCCCGATGGCTGGCAGTAGCTCCTCCTCATGGCACCCAGCGGCCGGCAGCACCTCCCCAGGGTGCCCGATGGCCGGCTGCTCACCACCTCCAGCCGGTCGTGTCGCGCCCACCACAGCCAGACCGCCGCCTGGCTTTCAGCGCTGGGCTAGCCTCGTCTACCACCGACGCCCACAGCCTCCTCCATCCGATTTGGCTATCCTGGTGCCGGTCCCTCTGGTTTGGCTGACGTACAGCCGACGTCCGCGTCTGCTTCTACGCCGCCAATCGCTCCAGCTACTGCGTCTCCGATCGCTGCACCACCATCACCACCAGTTCCTCCTGTTCGCCTCCCCACCGGGGCGGTTCCCATTGTCCCTGTGGCTAACTAGCATGCCATGCGAACACGTGGGAAGGCCAGTTTCCGACAACCGGTCACTCTTCAGGCGGTTTCCCTATTGCCTCTTCCGCGGACTTATCACGCCGCACTTGCTAATCCAAATTGGTGTGCCGCTATGCTGGACGAGTTTTCCGCACTACTTTCCAACCACACTTGGGATCTTGTACCACGCCCATCTAGATCCAATGTGGTGACTGGCAAGTGGGTCTTCAAGCACAAATTCAAGGCAGATAGTTCTCTCGAGCGCTACAAGGCGTGCTGGGTTCTTCGTTGCTTTACTCAGCTCCCTGGCATTGACTATGATGAAACTTTCAGCCCTGTTGTGAAGCCCGCTACCGTCCGGGAAGTTCTGTCTCTGGTTGTTTCTCGCAAGTGGTCGGTACACCAGCTTGATGTGAAGAATGCTTTTCTTCATGGGCATCTCTCAGAGAGTGTATTGCGCTCAGCCTTCAGGTTTTGAGGACTCCTCTCGCCCAGATTATGTGTCGTCTGAATCGCTCTCTGTATGGACTCAAACAGGCGCCACGTGCATGGTACAGTTGTTTCGCCAGTTTCCTTCTTCAGTTGGGTTTTGTGGAAGCCAAGACAGATACATCGCTCTTTGTATACCATCATGGCTCTGAGACTGCTTATCTTCTGCTGTATGTGGATGATATTGTGCTGACAGCTTCTTTTCCAAACTTGCATCATCGCATTATTGCAGCCCTACAGCGTGAGTTTTCTATGAAGGATTTAGGCGAACTTCATTTTTTGGGCATGCAAGTTCAGCGCCCTGCTTCTGGGTTATTCTTGTCACAACACCAGTACATGTTGGACATCTTGGAACGTGCTGGTATGGCTGATTGCAAGTCGTGTGCCACTCCAGTTGATATCAACCTGAAGCTCTCTACCGATGGTGATCCTATTTCTGATGCTACAGATTACCGCAGTCTTGCCGGCGCATTGCAGTATCTCACCTTCACACGGCCTGATATTGCTTATGCAGTACAGCAGGTGTGTCTACACATGCACGACCCAGAGAACCTCATCTTGTAGCTCTGAAGCGGATTCTTCGCTATGTTCGTGGTACTTTGGACTTGGGCCTTCATATCCGTGCCTCCAGTTAGTCTGATCTTGTGGTCTACTTAAAGGGTCGAGATGGCGGACTACAGGGGGGTGAATAGTCTTTTTCTAAAATTAATCACGTCGGCTAACCGATATAAATGC